CATTATACATCCAAAAAAAACTAAATGAATCACCAAGAAAAAATATGGGACTATATGGATTTTATAGCGGGAACTTGAATTAGACTAACCTATTATTACTTTGAATCTTTAGGATAATCATATTCATGGTGGTCGTTCCTTTCTCCCTTCATATTAGTTTGGCTTCAGGGGTCGACTATTACCTTGTTAGTGTCGACACTTGTTCCCCTTTTCTTGCCTTTTTGCTTCCAAGAGTTGACACCAGTCTAGAAGGTGTCGACACTTTCTTGCTACTATGTCCCTACGGTGGCTATGGAAATTTAGGGTTGACACCAACTAAGGGTGTAAATTTTGGCCCAGGCCGACCCATGTCGGGCCTTGTTCTTGGCTCTCGCCAAAAAATTCGGGCCGGGTCGGCCCACGGGCAAAAACGAGGTACAGGCCCAAACCCAGGTCCAGGGGTATTCGGGCTATGGATGGTCCAGTGGCCGAGCTCGCGGTCCCGACCCTAGGCTTGCGGCTTTGGGCAGGCCTAAACAAATTTTTTTATTTTTTTAAATTTTTTTCTACCAAAATTTTATTATTTTCCATTTTAAAAATAACACTAGCCTCGGGCGGGCCAGGCTCGAGGCGGGCCAGGCTCGAGGCGGGCCTTGACGGGCCACGGGCCGGGCTTCAAACGATGGCCTAGGCCCGGGCCAAGGCCTCGGAATAGACTTGCGGCTCGGGCCACTCACGGGCCGCAGGCCAAGATTACACCCAACACCAACCTTTGGTGGTGTCAACATTTCTTCCTTTTGTTGGCCCTCAAGAGTCAACACTAATTCTGGAAATTGACAAACCTTGTCTATTGCAGAATTCTGGGATTTGTTTGCTGAAATTTTAGTGTCAACACCTGGGTCTAAGCGTCGACACCTTGCCTTGATACCTAACACGAGTGTTTCAGTATTTTCTTCTTGAGGTGACACTACTATTGCAGTGGGTTGACCCTTTGTGACTCTTTTTCAGATTTTTTCGGCTGGGCCCTACTTTTTGAGAGAATTTTTGACTTATTCTTTCAATTTGACCTTTAGAACTATCTATTCTACCAATACTTAGTTCACTATATGATAGATCCAAAAGTCCTTCTTTTTCTCATAATGTTGTTTCTTCTTTTTCCTTCTCACCGGTAAACTCTCTCTCCATCCACAACATTCCACTTTATTTCTCACTTAAATCCTGTAGAATCTACTCACCTAGAAACGTCTTCTCACCTTGATCCCTTGTAGATAAAGTTGTTAGATCGCATCAGAGCTTTCCTTTGATCGAATGGTTTCGTGATTTTGTTGACGTCGAGTTTTTTTCAAGTTCTTCTCTTTCACCCTTCTAAGCTTGGGGTAGGGTTTTTTTTGCACTCTTTTATGAGTTTTAACTTATCTATTTGTTTTGGAAAGAAATGGACTTTTGAACAAATCTTGGATTTTTGGGTTTCGGAAACTAAAAAAAAGGGTTTCAAATGTTTTCATGAAATGATTGTAGCGTTAGAAATAAGGTTATAGAGATTTGACAACGGTGGTTAATTTTGAAATTTAGGAAGTGATTTAGAAAGAGAGGTCAATGTTGATTTTTGTATAAATAAATGATATAAAATGTTGGAAATATGCGGAATTTAATTGTTATGATTAAAGATGGTGGAGTTGGGTATCTCAAAATTAAGGAAAGTTTATCTTTATCTGGAAATAATTTTATCTTGTTTAGAGATATCTGTTTTTGCCTATTGGTGAAGGAATAGTTATAATTATTGAAAAAATTACAATGAGGACTAGAAGAATTGAAAACTACTTCCTTCATCCGTTGCACAAGCATTTTATACATACACATTTGTAATAAATTACATGGTTTTGACAAAATGGTGAATCTGGGTAGAGGGTTGTAGTTTACTTATTGATAATGTTAGCTTAGTGTTCCTTTGGTAAAATATTAGAAAAATCCGCAGCGAATAGGTGTCTGACTTCCGGTAATACTCGTTAAAAATAACAAAAAGTAGTTGCTTGTATAGCCTTGCTAGCAGACACGTACTTAGAAATTCACAGGTTGTATTCACAAACTGATTTTCCATTAAAAATGAAAGTGTTTCAATGAATGGTAATATAAACCTTGACGCATGACATGTTTGAAAAGGAGATATAAAATATTTGTCATGAGCATTTGTATGTGCATTTTTACCTTATAGTTTTGTTAAGATTCATATGTTGTGTTGGATTATTTCTACTGGGGTTTTGGCTCACCCTATGTGGGAAAAACATTTCAGGTGCAGTGATGATATGCTCCGTCAAGGCAACAGCTTTGGGGAAGAACATGGAAGTTTAAGAACGTTCATTTTGTTTAATTTGTGTATTTGTTTGTACAAATCAAGGACTTTATATGTATTAGGATTTTAAAACCATTTTGTTGTTAACCAAGTTTCTAACTTTAGAAAGTTATAAACCTTTAGAGCATTTCTTATTTGTTACCTTCGTTTGTTTCTCACCATGTAACACATGCTATAAATTCAAATTTAGGTTTATGAATGATAGTCGCCATGTGGTTGCTCTTTTGTATAAGAAATTTAAAATTTATTGGAAAGTGATTATCTCTTTCATATGTCGTCTTTTAATCACTATTGTGAATGGGCTGTTGTGTTTAATTCGGTACATGACAATGGATACAAGGCAAAGTACCAACACTTATGGTCAATCTCTCTTTTTTTAAATAATATATATATATATATTTAGATTTTGTTTTAAGAATTAAAAAGGGAATTAATATTTAGGTTGCCGTTCTTGGTAACACTTTACAATTTCAGTTTTTCTGTTTATATTTACAAAAAATTTAAAAAACTTTAAATAAAAACTTGTTTGGTAAAAATTTTGATTTAATAAATCAGTGTCCTCAATTTATAAAATTTGGCCCAAAAAATGAAAATACAAAAATGTGTTTTCCATTTTGAGTATTTCAGTTTTTTTTTTTTTTTACCACCCTACACTAGCCACCACTCCGCCACCATTTCCACCACCTGTCTTCTACCACCACACACTACCACACCTGCACCAGGACCACAGCAACCTACCACCACGTCACAACCACCAAGCCACTCTGCCACCTACTCGCCACCACCACTCACCTCTCGCCACAACCACACACCACCATCCACACTGCCACCCGCCACCCTCCACTACCATCCACCACCCGGCTACCACCACCGCCACTACTTTGCCACCACACCATTCACCCACCACCACCCGACACCCACCACCCCAAGCACCACTCGCTACCACCTACCACCCACCCACCCACACCCACCACCACTCGTCACCTACCCGCCCACCCGCCATCTCAGCCACCACCTGCTTACACCCACCAGCCACCACCACACACTTGCCACCGTACTACCCACCCACCTCACCACCTACTTGCACCAACACCACCACAACCCCACCACCACACACTCGCGCCGCCACACCCGCCATTCTGCCACCCACCTGCCACACCCCACCCAACCCGCCACCACCACCACCACCACCAACTCGCTACCAACCCCACCACTGCCACCGTTACCCACCCACCCACCACCCACCGTCACCACTTTCCACCACCGTCTTCCGCCGCCACTTGCCACCACTTGCCATTTTTCACTCTTTTTTATATTTTAAAATTTTTTTAAACATTTTTTCAATTACCAAACGCGTTTGTAGTTTATGTTTTTCTAAAAATAAACAAAAAATAAACAGAAACCAGTTTATAAAATTTTTATAAATATAAACTGAAAACGTAAACGTTACCAAACACACACTTACATTCCCGAGTGTTAGAAATGTACTTTATGTTCGTGTTTTTACCATAAGAAATTATACTAATTTTTAACACACATAAAATAAAACTAATGGGACTAGTTCAATGCACAAATTAAATGACGACATTAAAAATTAAGAATAATATTATATGTATTAATTAGTGTATTAACGGATGGTTTAACATAATTTTAGAAGTTTTAAATATTTATAATTTGTATAATGGGTGGAGTGAGTAATAAAATCATATTATATATTGGTACATTAATTAGTATATCAATTGGTATATGTAATACTACCGAAAAATTAATGATCTTATTATAAAAGAAGAGCACAAATAGTAATTTTTATTAAAAAAGTTAATGGATATTAGATTACCATTTAATTTTTAAATCTTGGACTAGGAGCTCTTTTGTTTTCTTTTTTTTTTTTTTTTTTTATCATAAAATTTTACTGGTATAAAGATGGGGGAATTTTTTTTTTCTTTTTGTCCTCTAAAATCTTAGAAGTCATGTAGATTAGCATTCTTTTGTATTTGTAATAATTTAAAATTTTAATAAATTTTAATTTAATTATTTATTTTTATAAAATTTATATTTTTAAAATTCTATGTCAAGTTTTATCAAATAAGAATGAATACAAAGTTTTAAAAATAAAAATTACAAAGTTTCACTAAACTATTTTCTGAACATTTCGTGAAATTGAGACTTTAGAGTTAATGTTATAATTAATCAAACTACAGGACTTTGACTAATTAGAAGTTTATTTGGGACACAATTCAAGTTAAATACTTCTGTAAATTTTTTCAGATTTCAAATTAGTACTAAACAATCCACTAATTATAGTCCTATTTAAAGTCAATACATGGGAGTGAACAATGTGATTTATCTATACTTATTATATGAAATTTACACTTAAGACAACACATTTGTTTAATTTATGAAAACGTCCACAAGAGAAATGATCACGATCGTTAGACCAATTGAAATTTTAAAACTATCTATCAAGATTGAAAACAACGGTGGAGATCTTCGCTCAGGGCTTCCACGATCCATCAACCAGTAGTAGGAGTAGGAGCCGCTAATAGTCAACCCAAAATCATGAAGACCCACCATTAACCCAAACAGCAAATGACACGTAAGCATTTTTTTTAACTGCCCAACACATCTCCACTCGCCTCACCTCTCCCCACTCACCTGAGAGATAACTAACTTAACCGCCATGTCCTCCCACTCCCTCACTCCACCTTCTATATAAAAAAACTCTCACACTCTGTTTTCAGTCTCTGTTTTCTTCCCCATTTTGCTATTTGGCTTCCCTATTCACTAGCTTTTAATCTCTCTGCTGTTCGGTGATTGACCCACAAATGACTTCTTCTTCTTCTTCTTTCTTGTTGTTTCTTTTCTTCATCATCTCCATCTCCATGGTTCTCCTCTTGGTGTCTTCTCATCGGTTCGAAGTCGGTGGTGACAGAGGCTGGTCCAAACCCACTGGAAACGACTCAGAGACATACTTCAATCACTGGGCTTCCATGAATAGGTTCCATGTTGGAGACACAGTTTGTAAGTTTACACTCTGCACACACATCTCATGATTTCTCATTATTGTCTGCAAATTTGCTCAAATTGCTCTCTGTCTTTTTGTTATTGCAGTACCATATATATTAGCTTTATAGAATTACTTATATTCACTTTAATTCATTTGTTTCAGATTTCAAGTACCAGAACGACTCTGTGCTGGTAGTGAAGGAACCAGATTATGAAAACTGCACCACATCGAACCCAATCTCCAAATTTGAAGATGGAAACACTGTTTTTGAATTCGATCGGTTCGGGTTCTTCTACTTCATTAGCGGGCAGCCAGGTCACTGCAAATCAGGGCAGAAACTGATCGTCCGGGTCATGGTGCATCCAGAGGTTGAGTCGCCACAAAATGCGCCGCCACCTGATGATAAAGCTGGTGGCGGCAGTGGATCGGGTGGAGGCCACGGTGGTAGTTGGAGTTCTGATGTGTTTGGACCACCTGGGTTCTTCAACTCTACTACAAAGCTGTCTGTTGTGTCTCATTTCATGACTGTTTTTGTTGCCCTGTTCATCATTCTCTATTTGTTCATGTAGGGTCTAGGATGAGTGATGTTTTTACCTTTCTTCTCACTAGGTTTTGAAATTGTTTTGATTTCGTGGTTGTTTTGCTTCGATGTTTTCTTTGGCGTTTTAGTTAATTGATGACTGCCTTGTTTGGCTGTTTAATTTCATTATGTATCTCAATTTGGTTTTTCACCTACTTTTGTCCAGAGAAACAGTCCTACAATGTTCACAACCTTGACAACAATGAAATCTAAAAAAGCAATGAACCATTCTAAGGTTAAACTGAATTCTTGTGTTCCATCAGATCATTCATGGTTACACCTAAGGTTTTTAAAATAATAGTATTGAGATATATCGGTTTCCATATCTAAAATATTGAGTTATACGAATCAAGAATTGATGATACAGCTGTAAAATCTTTTAAAATCGGTAGCCATGGAAAAATGAGTTTTACAGTAACCAAATCGACCATATGGATTGTCTATGAACTAAAATGTATATCGAACCAAATATGGATGTGATGTTTGTTCCCACCAATATACTTATCAATATTGAAATGTATGAACTAATATTTAAAACCATGAACACCACCATCATTGAGAAAAAGCAGTAGCCAAAGAACAATTTCAAACCGAAACTGTAAAAATCACCAACTTCAGAGAAAGCAATTCTATACATTTAAGACATTGAACAGAACACTGCATTTTTTATTGTTATTTTTTATTTTGGGCAAATGGACAATAAGACAAGCCAATATCAGCTATCAACAAAACTGTCCTTTGAATGCAAAACCTTTATCATTAACAAATACAATATCTTAAACAGAAAAATTAATTTAGCAAGATATACAGCTTATGTCCTGTGAATCACAAGTTTGCTGAGCCAAGCTTTAGCAGGATACAAGGAGGAATCAATAATTTCATCATCTCCGAAATGGGCACGTGATAGATCATTTATCACACTGTTTATATACCCCTACTCCCTTTCGTTAGTAGTACTTGGAAAAGCAGCCATTACTGTTCTTCCACAAAAATATGTAGGATCTCTGCTAAAGCGAACTTTTCAAACACGTGATGAAGGTCGTTGGTTGCCATATAACTCGCCTTAGCTTCAGCTCAATAAGTCAAAAGGGCTTTCACCTCTCGTCACCAAAGAGGGGCAGAGAGACAACATGCCCACCACAAATTGACCAAGACTTGATAGGCTGCTAGAAATTATTAATTGAAGTTGCTCTCCTACTGTCCATAAGCAACTTCAATAGAATGTTGAGCATTTCTTCAATCAAATTTGATTTATAATGATCGAACAAAACGAGCTGCAAAAGCTCCATCAATTGAATGCTTCACAGGATTAGAGGAATAGAAACCATGTTCCGTAACAAAATCAGTTGGAACATATTTGTCAACAGGATCTATACAGAATTCCTGCCAAAAAAAATGCATACCAACAACAATACAATAATAAGACTAAATTAATCTTGCCTTGTTAATTCTATTATATATATATATATTACAGATAAGTGTAAGAGAAATAGCAATTTCACTAGGTCAAGTCATGAGCTAGGAGGTATAGTTCACCACCCAAATAAGATTTTTCAGTTTTCAAAAATAAGCAAATAAGATGGGTGCATTGCAGAAAATATATCGCAGGGCATATGAAAGAAAGCATTGAAAGATTGAGTATATAGCTCTTACTGGATGTCTGAGAAGAAATGCAGCCACCCTCTCTTCATTTTCTTCGGGATCAATGGAACAGGTACTATATACTAGTACTCCACCAAGCTTTACCAACCTACAAATGCATTAGTTAGTAGAATTACACTATCATGTTGGTTTTTCCCCAACAATAGATGGCCTTATGTTGCTCCTATTCAACAACAATGAATATACAAAAAGGAAAATATCAGCAGAAGAGAAATGTTAGCCTCACATAGAAGCTGCATCAAGAAGTTCATCTTGCAAATTCTTGAGTTGTTCCATATCCTCCCATCTCCTATTCCAACGTAAGTCTGCTCTCTTCAATAAGTAAAGAAGAAGCATAAGATTCAAGACCCCACTAGCTTAATGTGAAAACAAAAGGAAAAATTGGAAAGAAGAATGAAACAAAGAAACATATAACTCCCCAATGTAGCTGAAAACTTGCTCTGAACAAAATGTCGGAGATAGATGTCCTTGTGTGTATACCTTGGAGAGAACACCTAATCCAGAACATGGAGCATCCAGCAAAACTTTATCTGACTTAACATGGTTATCATCCTTGAGAAAAGAGGGAAGATGCAAGTCAGATACCGCATATTTCAAAATACTTTCATTTTCCATAGCAGTACTTACTTACAGCATATATACGAAGATCAGCATGGATGGTCGTTATGACATCATCAACTTGTTGCAACTTGGCAGCCTCTTTCAGGATTCTCATCCGGCCTTTGTTTATGTCAATTGCAGACACGACACCTGGAATTCTCAAATAAGGCATGTCTAATATCATTCAAAACTGCTCAACTGTATCTGTCAAGTGAAAGAAAAGAAAAGAAAAAGAATTATAACAATAATGGGGGGGGGGAGGATCCATTTATACCCAGTTTAAACTTTTTAGTCTTGCACACTTTCACTTCCATATGCTAGTAATTTTTTAATATAATCTCTTTACTTGAGTGGTCTATATAGATAGAAGTCCTTTTGATTTTTTATCAAGCTCTTTAAGACAAGTAGATGAGACCTCCTCCTCTTGTTTAGAAATTACCTCGACCACTTAATCGGGATGCCATGAATAAGGTCTTCCCTCCGGGAGCAGCACAACAATCAATAATGCTCTCACCAGGTTGTGGATCCACAACAGAAACTATCAAACCTGTACTGAGAAACAGATTAATGTATATATAGGAACCATTTCAGAATAAAATGTTCACCTCTTGAGTAACATAAAGACATGATTAGCAAATCAGCCCAAAACATGACACCATGCAGCAAAAATATGCAATTCTAGTTATACAGAATCAACAGACGGTCACAGTTTATATTCTTTTAACAAGGAGGACTATGTCTGTCTACTTGTCCAGTGGCTGTTCAAAACAGGTGTTACATGACAATATATGTATATGTATATTGTAAGAATTTATGTATTATTGATTAATGTATATTGTTTACATTTCTGTCTATTACAAATGGTTCCTTATATAGATGTAGGTGTAGTGGATGGTGTGTAGTGGATGGTGATAGTGGTGTAGTGGGTTAGGTTTAGTGGAGTAGGTGAGGTGGTAGTGGTGGCAATATATGTATATGTATATATAGAAACATAGAAAGATTGATATGTCTGTCTATTTCTATTTTTTTTTGATAAATTGATATGTCTGTCTACTTGACCATGGGTTGTACTACAAAGAGTTATACAGAGCTTCATACAGTCTATGCCACATACACACATTTAAGACACTCCAATACTCAAGAAAAGGAGAAGTTGAATACCATAAGGGATTTCAGTTTGACCCACAAATTTTGTGCTCAAGTGTTTTGCCTAATGAAAGCTCAAGTCTTCAATCAATGGAAAGAGACATACACCTATACTCCATATTTAAAATACAGTTTTTATTCCACAAGCAAACACATATTATAACGGAATCCATATGTTCCAATCAAATTCTTACCTCAACCGATGTCCTATCCTACTAGAATTGGGATAAAAAAATTAACCTGCACTCTCATCCTGGACTGAACATAAACCTTCTTTTAGTAATCCAGCTTGCATCATAATCTGGAAGATGGAAACAGAGAACAATTAGGACTAATTAGGATACTTGAATAACAGATTGGAAGCGAAGAACAAATAATACTGAACATTGACATTTACATTGGAAATGCCATATACCTTTCTTATTTATAAGAAGCATTGTAATTTATGAATTAATCCAGTGAGAGAGATGCATACATACATTCATATATGTATGTAGAAAATATTATATATATAATTGGATTAGCTATTGAATAAACAATGAAATTTGACTAACTTGCACATAGATACGGACCTGAAGGGTGCACGAATATATAATTCAATTGCACCAACAATGACACAAGTACATAACACTAGAACTCAAATTCTCCAGGAAGAATTCAAGGAGCAGTTTCAGCAACTTCCGATGATTGACCCATAACCAACTTCATTTATTTTTCCATTTTTGGTGAGGGAATAGAATCCAATTAGTGAGTAACTTCTCAAGTTGAAGAAAGTAATGAAAATAAGGCTGGAGATCTTCTCAACATACTGTATAGAGAGGGGAGGGGGGGCGGGGAGGGGGAGGAGAGAACTTAAGAATGCTCCACACAACTATATTGATCTTCATACCTGCATCCCAGTTTTGATGCGAACAAAATCATTCAAATAAGGAGAAATGTCATGTGGAACCTGAAAATCAAGAAAAATAAATAGCTATGTGTATTTTATAATATTATCTGATCACATGTCTTTCCCTCCCAACATGAAGGGCTAAGTAGTGCCTTTCCTTTTTGAATAAGCTGTGTGTGTGTGTGTGTGTGTGTGTGTGTGTGTGTGTGTGAGAGAGAGAGAGAGAGAGAGAGAGAGAGAATTTGGTAATTATTGAGAAAACATATTATGAACACAACATTAATCAAGCACCTTCAACATTTGAAGCCGCATCACAAGGTCAGCTCTTGTAAAACCTTTCCCACTGTTTGCCCTGACATAGGCATTGAAGACCTGACTATGAGGTCCATTTCATGTCCTTACTAAAAGATAAGAAGATGCGATCACAAACCTCAGGCTAAAACTTGGGTTGCTATTATTCCACATCATCAGCTTAATAGCTTCTTCACGCCCAAGATACTTTGTCCATCGTCTCACCATCCACTAACAAACAAAAAACTGGAAAAAGTGAAAAGCTATATATATATACATATATAGAGAAAGAGAGAGAGAGTATTATTAACCTTGAGAATTAACAAGAAACAATACTGCTTTTATCAATCAATTGTTGCACCTCCATTATGAAAAAGTTAAAAGATCATATTCAACTTCGTTTAGTTTAACTAGACTGAACTTGTCACATAAAGCAACCTTTATAACAAACATTGAAAATCAAACAGTATGACAGCATCCCATGAATAAACCTATTAACAAGGGTGTATAAAACATGCATTGAGATCTGCTGCAGCATCCACTAACTCATCGCAATTGATCAAGGAAAGTTGGTCAGATGATTCTCCATGACTAGATAGAGTCCAGGCTCTTTGTCTGCAGAATGATTGTTTGTGACCGTGGCTTTGAACTCCAATTTCAAGTAACTTTTGCACTTGCAGGAGCAAAATAAGCTTTCTTAACCATACAAGAGTTTAAAACCAAAACCTTAAGTATCGCTATTGCACGGCTACACAGGGTCTTCAAAATTTTACTGGAGAGATGGTAAATTATCTCAATTTAGAGCATTCCTTGAAAAGGCCCATAAATAAATCAGGTGGTTTGCTTTATAGCAACCACCTCTAGGCTTAAATATACATAAGCCTTGGCAGTTGTTAATTTTTTTTTTTTTAATTTTAAAAAAGACTATGTATAATATATAAGAATTGGAAACTTACAACTGGATGAGAATAAAGAGTGGCAAGAGCACGTGCTTGTGCACGGTCATTGCCTTCTAGTGTGGGTAAAGGAAGGGAGTTGTTCTCCTGCAGACCCAAAATAATTAGAGTCACTAAAACTGACAGTTATCATTTAGGCTTATTTTGGGAATGTGGTCAAAATTCACATTTGGGCGTTTTTTGAAAAAGCCAAAAGTTGGCTTTTTTGTGGTTGATGCCATTTGGGAAGTTGGCTATAAGTCATATGTGTAAAGATATGTTATTATGAACTATGTTTTAAATGTATTACGTTATGCTATGCTTTGAAATGAGAATGTTTTCCGTGAATGAATGTCCTGATTTGCGAATCTAGTATGGCATCCATAGATAGTTGGGTCATGGGGGCGGGAACATGCAGGCCCATGCGTCATGAGTCATGGGGAACGGCATGGAAGGACAAGCCCATGACTAGTTACGAGATCTCGTCGACTGTTGACTGATAGACTGTTATGAAAGGTTCTGTGGAGTATGCCATTACGTATGTTCTTATGATGACTGATGACTGATATATGTTTATGATTGATTTATTGTGGATTTATGAAAATGTCGGACTTCGTTCACTAACCGCTTTACTGTTATGTTACTTGCTGAGCTCTAGCTCATTGTTTGTAATTATGTATTATAGGTGAGCATTCTGGAAGTCAAGCCTAGGCGGGTTCTCGAGCCGAGCCGCTGTTTTGAGGCCTAACAAGTGTTTTGTGTGCTCCGAGCCGGGGCTAGGCCTGGAAGGCCGTTTTGTGAGCTGTCTTGTTGTATCTGTGGCTTTTGCCTATGTGTTGTATATGGTCTTTTATTGTATGTGATGTAATGTAGTGGGTAAATTAACATTTTTAACATGTAATGTATGTTCATATAAATGCACAGCTCTTTGGACTATTAGTGGTTATTGTTTTCGCTTTCGCGAGCCCTTTTATTTATGTTTTGTATAGCAAGGCCTGTGGTAATCTAGGATTACTGGCCGGTCTCGTTGCCAAACTTCTAGGGGCGAGTTTGGGGCGTGACAATATTCAACTTCGTTTAGTTTAACTAGACTGAACTTGTCACATAAAGCAACCTTTATAACAAACATTGAAAATCAAACTGTGACGACCCAGAATTTTTCCCTTCGCTCGAGCAGAAGATTTGACGCTCGAGCGGACTTTTGGGGTTCTCAGCAATTTTGCAGACGGCCTGAGATTCTGAGAGTTGTGAATCTCCGCTCGAGCGGAGAAGTTGACGCTCGAGCGGACTGCTTTATTGGTCTGTGCGCGCTCGAGCGGTTGAAGCGACGCTCGAGCGTGAGAAGTAAGATTTCCCTTGACATTGTAGTGGTGTATTTGGAATTCTCTTAATTTGTTTTGGAGTATTGTTTGAGGTGGTAATATGGTGGTGAAGTAAGATAGGACCAAAAACTTGAATTCGAACAATTTGTTTACGTTCAACAGTCACTCTTTTGCCCTTTTCTTTTTCCACACTTTGAATTTGAATGTGAGGTTAGAACCATTGAAAAGCTTATCTCCGGGGCTTCAATTTGGACACAAGAACGGCCTAAAACGGAGCCCGGATGAGAGAGTTATACGTGATTAAAGTTTTGGGATCTGTGCTGGGAGCAGGTACGCTCGAGCGGGAATAAGGACGCTCGAGCGGGGTTGGCGAGTACAGCAACGTAAAAAACGGGATTTTGAGATCTTTTTCCACATTTTCTTTCCCCTTTCTTCTTTCCTCTTCTCCTAAGTCCGAAACCCTCCAAAACCCTAGCCTCAAAACCTTGATTTCCTCTATTTTGAACAACAATCCACCATGGTTTTTGCATCAAAGATGGAGAACAAGAGAAGATCAATGTTTTTACCCGATTGGAATTCGGATTTGCGAAGGCTTCTTCTCAAGCTCACTTCTTTGCTTGATTATGGAGGTAGGGGTCCTAGTTCTCTTCAATACTTACATCAAAATATAGATTTGTGGTCTTTCCATTGTATAAATGTACGAATTTGCATTTTTGAGCAAATAGAGTAAATTATGAGATTTGGGAATTTCGGGTTTGAAGCATTGAGGGTTCAATTGATGGGTTAAGGTGATGGTGTATGACCCTTAGATGTATAATCAAGGAGAAAATTAGGATGTAAGGTCATGGTATGAGAAGTTTGAATTTTTATGGAAAACTTTATATTTTTCTTGAAACCCTAGGTTAATTTGTGATGCTAAATAATGATTTTTGCCCAAATTGAAAATAGAATCATGGAATTGGTGGGTTGAATTATGCATGTACAAGTTGAATTGGATTTTTGAGATGTTTTGAAATAATGTTAAAATTTGCGAATGAACCTTGTTATGAACATTGTGAATCATGTTAAAATGAGAAAGGAAATTAGGGGAAATGATTTAGAAAATTAATGAGTGACCTCATATGTGTGTAGGACACGCTTCGGGAGGAATAAACGCTCTACCAGCACACTGTGAGTAATAGTACGGAGATGTACATTTTATTTATTATTGATAATTATTATCACTAACGCTCTGTTTCTTGTAAGTGTTACACGAACATGTTACATGAACAATTATGATGAGTAAAAGTCAATGTGAACGTTGAAAGATTGGCATAAATAGGTATGACTTTGGAATGGCTTCGTTCTATCAATAGCGAATAATAAATTCTCTATTATCTATAAGCAAACTACGTCGTTTCTTAATGAATAAATAGAATTATGTTCATCTTTAAGCCAAGTATCTGTATGAAACTGAGATTATTCTATTATGTTACTTATGGACCCGAGGTCATCAAGAACCTATGACATGCATGCAATGTTTAATATTATTATGTGGTCTCAGTTAATAATTGTTATGATTATTATTATTCAGTTGTTCGCGAGACACCTGTATTAATTTGTAATCAGGCCATGGGAAACTTATGTGCATTATTGCATACTGATACTTTACGAAGACTGAAATCATTCTCATTACAAGGGCTTTGTGCCATTACAAGTTACATGAGCTTTATGCCATTACAAGTTTTATTGGCTTTATGCCATCACAAGTTACAAGGGCTTTATGCCATTCCAAGGGCTTTATGCCATCACAAGTTACAAGGGCTTTATGCCATCACATGGGCTTAATGCCAATCTACGTTCAAGGGCTTCATGCCAACTTTTTCAAGGGCTATATGCCATCTTTCAAGGGCTTTTTATGCCATATGTTTCAAGGGGGGCTATTGTGCCAGATGTTCCAAGGGCTTTTTATGCCATATGTTTCAGGGCATTAATGCCAATGTGTTTCAAGGGCTTTACGCCGTTCTGTTAAGGGCTTAAAGCCACTGTGTTTAAGATTAGGCCCAAGGCCGTTCTGTAAAAGATACTTTGCTATACATACAGAAACAAATAAACCATATGTTCTCTTTATTGATAAACACACGGATATGGATTATAATTCACGTTGAGCATTGAACTGTTATGTATTATTATTCACTGAGCTTGACTCACTCTATTTTATGTTTGTTTCTGTAGGCACTCAACCTGGAGATCAACCTTCACTTGTGGCTTTTGTTACCCAGTTGTCAAACCCTGAGTATCTAAGCCCTTAGATGTTGATTGTTCAAGTTATGGAGTTTTGCTAGTTTTAATTTGTACCCTAAATGTCTGTTAAGATCGGCGTATATGTATATGTACATAGCTTTCTTCAGGTGCACGTCACTGTATATTTAACTGCATTATGTTCTGTTTGTGATCCTGGCATGGTAGTGGTAGCTCAATGGATATATTGTTATAATTATTATTATTTTTGTTTGCTATCATATACTATTAAATGCTTCCGTTCAGGCCCTGTAGATTATATTCATCAGGTTTTATGTCCGTTTTCTGAGGTGGTCATGCCCAAACTTTTAGGGGCGAGTTAGGGGCGTGACAGAAACAGTATGACAGCATCCCATGAATAAACCTATTAACAAGGGTGTATAAAACATGCATTGAGATCTGCTGCAGCATCCACTAACTCATCGCAATTGATCAAGGAAAGTTGGTCAGATGATTCTCCATGACTAGATAGAGTCCAGGCTCTTTGTCTGCAGAATGATTGTTTGTGACCGTGGCTTTGAACTCCAATTTCAAGTAACTTTTGCACTTGCAGGAGCAAAATAAGCTTTCTTAACCATACAAGAGTTTAAAACCAAAACCTTAAGTATCGCTATTGCACGGCTACACAGGGTCTTCAAAATTTTACTGGAGAGATGGTAAATTATCTCAATTTAGAGCATTCCTTGAAAAGGCCCATAAATAAATCAGGTGGTTTGCTTTATAGCAACCACCTCTAGGCTTAAATATACATAAGCCTTGGCAGTTGTTAATTTTTTTTTTTTTAATTTTAAAAAAGACTATGTATAATATATAAGAATTGGAAACTTACAACTGGATGAGAATAAAGAGTGGCAAGAGCACGTGCTTGTGCACGGTCATTGCCTTCTAGTGTGGGTAAAGGAAGGGAGTTGTTCTCCTGCAGACCCAAAATAATTAGAGTCACTAAAACTGACAGTTATCATTTAGGCTTATTTTGGGAATGTGGTCAAAATTCACATTTGGGCGTTTTTTGAAAAAGCCAAAAGTTGGCTTTTTTGTGGTTGATGCCATTTGGGAAGTTGGCTATAAGTCATATGTTAATTTATGAATATACCCTCCATTCACTTTAAGATTTGTTGAGACAAACACTTCACCATTTTGCATGGGGAGGGGATATTTTGGTCATTTTACATTATGGCATGGTGATGTGACAACATTAAAAATTATTAACCAAAAAAGTCCAAAAGTAACTTTTTATCAACTTCCCAAATGACTTTATGAAAAAGCCAAAAAGCTAGGTTAAAGGCCAAAAAGCCACTTTTTACCATCTTCCCAAAACAAGCCTTAATTATGATTTAAAAGAATAAAATAAGGCAAACCTTAAGCAAAACCAATTTCCTAAGAACACCATTGACCATGTTACCAGCACCGGGTCTAAGAGCCACCTTTGCAAGCCTTACGTTCTGCAAACAATGAATGCAACATCGATATAATATATAGCAAAGCACCCACAATAGACAATAAAATGTTTGAGGAAGCATTAAATGGGCAAGGTGCACAGAACCCTGGTCAAATGGAGGTTATTATGAGAATGGTAAGGGCATATTTAAGATTTAGGTATCGATTACTATAATTTTCTTTTTCATTTTATTTAAATTCAAATCCAGAACTTGTTGATTGAGTCAATTTGTCATATCTCTAGCTGAGAGACAGAGATGCTACCAGGCTTCATCTGAGAATTTCCTGGAAATGAACAGTTACCTCCATCCCATTTACAGCTTACTCATCTTAAGAAGAAATTGTTGTTTAACAAACAGAACTTGTAATAAATCTTAAAAACAACAATGAGGGAAATTCTGGAAGAGGAAGCTAAATATGAAAATTTTACCTCATCTACGACAGCATAAGGGGGCATTTCCAGCTGGACAATCTCGTAGAAACCAATCCGAAGAATCTAGAACAAAGATGTAAAATTTCAAGTAGAAAGAGATGTTTTGGTAATGTTAAGGTCCAAAAATATGCATTTTCATAAACAACAATCAAATCAAATGGATAATGAAGCCACTGCAAATTTAAGCATATCTGTCCACATACTACAACATATAAACAAAAACATGAACTTTTACCAAATGGAAGCAAGCAATTTAGACTACACAAACAGAAAGGAGATCCATATACTATTCAATTGTGAGAATGCCTCCAAACTTTATCAATATGGGCAATTAGAGCTTTATTTGGAAAACTATTCCTACCATTCCTCATACAGCAGGACCCAGATATTCACAAGTTATAGCTTCGATGGCCAATAAACAGATATATTCATGATGTCTGCAAATCCACCTTTACAATTTACAATTTAAGCAATAATATATTTGTCAACCACAGTCCTATAACCATGAGAATGTTCTATTATCATCCACCTGTAACAGCAGAGGTTCAATGCTTCTAAAAGTGTTCTCGCCGTGGCATAATGCAAGAATCAAATGATCAAGATATCTTCTCCAGCGAATGGTGCCTCCAACAATGTCTGTGACCTGCAAAGTGAGAAAGTTCAGAAAGAGTTAGTTTCAATAACAGAATCGAGAATGTCATCAAATGAAATTTTGGTCTATCTAGTATGTAGCCCCCATAGATTAAATGCACTACAGGAAAGCTTCTATATAAGTATATCGTCAAGGTTAATATGGAATAAACTTTGGAGATTTCATTGAACTTGCTGCCAATAATAACTGATGTGTGAAAAAATTATAGTGGAAACAAAATATGAGAAAGGAATAAAGAGTAAGACCAGTCTGAGATCTCTATCATCCAAAGCACGAGTACGAAATCCCAGAGTTCTTTCAACATATCCCATCTCATTATCACCTGAACCCTTTCCATTCTCATTCAAAAGGTCCGCAAAAGCACCACCAAATTCTATGCGCATCAATCTCACTGCAGACACTATATGAGCCAAAAACAAGAACAATTAATAAGTCAACAAACAAGTGCAAATTCACACACCCTTTTACAACTCTGTTTTGGCAACTGTGTGCAGAGACTGGCGTTGGAAGCAATTACTTTGGGGAGGCACACAAACAAACAGTACCAGCTGTATCATGCAACTGTGAAAAGAAAATGCTAAATTGAACCTAAAGAACAATATAAATAAAAATAGACTAAAAATTACCAGCTCTATGAGGAGAAACCTCCAAATTCAGCTTCTGGGTTTTGTGTACAGGACCTACAAATCACATTGTGTGAGCTATCCAATACAATAAGAAACTGAATGAGTATCAATTAAGATAAAATGTTTGCCTGTGTTGCCACAACACACTGTGTTCTTGCTACTTTCAATTCCGTGAATACTTAATTGGGTTTTTTAGTTTTATTGAAAAGGCCAAGACCCAAATTGTATCCAGATTCTTTTCCTACAGATTCTAGGAAACCAAACCCAAAGAACTGAGAGATTACCTCTACCGCGAGGAGAAGTTGTTGATTTGAGGCCTCGATTCTCGTTAGCGAACTTGGATGGCTTAGAAGCTTTATATAGCTCCGCAGAGTTGAGTACTCTGATCGAATTTGAAAGCAAGTACGCCATTGAAAGAACAAAATTTGAGGGGTTTATTGCGAGAGTGAATGAGCCAGAGTGAGAGAGACCAGTGAAGAGATGATAGCGCGATTTTTGATACGTGATGATGGATGGTTGGGATCAAAAGAGCAGTAAATGGACGGCTGGCTTATGCCTGGCTATGATCCAGTGTATCGCGATACTCATTTAAAGGCAATCATGATTTATAAATATTTTACCACTAATTAATTTGTTTCACATCAAATCTTAATTTTTTTTTAATTAAACACGAATTAGGCATTATAAATTAGGTTTTTTTTTTAGATGGTAAATAAATTAGTTTTATTTCTTGTTATTTATCATATTTTATCTTCTTTTTTTTCCTCACTATATATATATTTTTTCTCACAAAGCCCATTCTTTTTTTTTCTTTTCTTTTTTCTTTTTGACTCCACTATGGAGGAGTATTTTATGAATGACAGCACGTGACTAAGGTGACACAAAAGTGTCAGCCAAGGTGCCACATGGCCTGTTCATGCTGCCAAGATAATCTCGGTTAGGTCGAAGTTACCGAAATTCGAGATAAGCAGATAAGGAACTAAAGTCCTAGAATAGGGGAGGATCTCAGTCTGGATAAAGATAAGGCTCAAGAAAAGTTTATCTCTATCTAAATGAAGGTCTAGGATGAGTATTAAGCCTACATCCACTGAAGTGAGGCTTCTAAAGGGATCAGGTCACTACTGGTTATAAAAACAAGGCACCCTCGTGGGTCGAAGGTAAGTTATTTCTTGTGAAATTCAGCATTATTTGCTATCTGTGAGAGATATTGTTTATTGACTTAATTGTTGGAGTGCCCCTGAGTGGACGAACCACTGCCAGATTCTTGTGCAGGTTGTTAGGTTTAATCTATTCTACCGGTGCTCTCCAACTAAGTTCCCCTTTTAGTTGTGTGCTAGGAAATCAACACCCACAATTTGGCGCTATCTGTGGGAACTTAAGGAGAATAGATGGCCAACAACTGGCAGAAAGAAAAGATTATAGATGACATCCACAGTGAGAGTAGCGAGCATGTAGATCCTAACTTCGGGGAGGAAAACAACAATAAAGGAGAGCAGGATCCGAATCCTGGGGAGAATGATGTCTTCAAAGAGGGTAACCCCTGAAGAAGAGTGACCGAGATGAGTATTACAACGAAAGCGACCTTTAGGTATGGAATAATAGATGCCTGAAGAAGGTTGACAAGATAAAAGGGATGGAAAACAAGTTGGCAAACGTACAGTCGGTTGTCAACTTTATGATATAGAACAACGTGACATAACCATCATTCATGTTGCTGAACACGCGGTACCAGTGACTAAGACTAACGCCCAGAAAAGAGGGTAGAAAACAATCCTAGTAGTCTCACAGCACGACAAGGGAAAAGAGCATTCACATCAGCCGTCACGGGATGTTGGGCGATCAGAGTCAGTAAGAGGTGAGTCACAGAAGACACCATGAACCAATGGGACCTATGTCAAAAAACCTCAACATATCTAAGAAAATGGCCTTTGTTTTGATGCAGTGGATGAAGAGAAGTCCAAACAGACGCATAATTACACTGGGAGCAGCGTGCCAAAGAGACTAAAATCTATTGATAGCCGAGCTCCTGGTAGAATGAATAAGGATCTGAGAGACTATCTCCAAAGAAAGCGGCATAACGCCGATATCACATCCCCCGTCAAGTCGATGACCCCATTCTCGATGGCGTTGGATGCGTTTGAGGCCCCAAAGAGATTCCATATGCCGAGGTTCCAGGTTTATGACGGTAAGTCTAATCCGAACTTTCATATTGGCTTGTATTTAAATTCAATGACTTTGTGGAACGGGAATGAGCAGCTACTGTGCAAGGTGTTCCTTTCATCTTTTGGTAAGATAACATCTGACTGGTTTCATAAGTTGTCGAAAGAAACTATGAAGAGTTGGGAAGGCATGGCCGAAATGTTTGTGGCCAGGTTTATTATGAACAAGTTACAGCCACTAAGGGTAGACTCCTTGCTAACTGTAAACATTAGCGATGGTAAAAGCCTTAAGGCTTACGCCAAGAGATACTACGAGGTGTTCAACCGAATTCCTGCTTGTAACCAGGAGTTGCGATCATATCTTTTAAAAAGGGCCTGGATGATTGTAATACCCCCGACCCATGATTAACGTTAATCCATGATTTAATATGTCTAATAAGTTATTGAGATCAAATCCTGAATTAATTGCATATGTGATGCATTATTTGTACTTTTATTTGTTTCTCATAGGAAGATCTGTCCATGTTTCCGTGTCGGTTTGTGAATTGAAAGTCTTATCAGCTTCCGATTCAGAAATTGACTTGATTTATGTGTTATTTGGGATTTATAGAATTTTGTGGTAGGCTTAATTGAAATTCAATTCGGAACGATTAAATTAGAATAAATTAATCCCCAATTGATTAATTGATCAAAAAAGTAATTAGGCCATTAACCAAGCCTATACAAGGCCACCTCAACACCTCATATGCACTTTTTGCACTTCATTTCCTCTTGATTGAGTTCAAACGTGTAGAGAGAGAGAAAGACTAAGAGGAAAGTGGCTTCAATATAGGAGTCAATTGAGAATTTGGAGATTTGGCTAAGAATTTCAACCAAATAACTCTAGAGAGACCATAGTTGAGCATCAAGGTAAGAAATCTACCCCTTAGTTGTGTAATTGAGTTAGTTTTTGAAAGAATTCAAGTAAAGGAGGTGGACTAACATAAGAATGAGCTAGGATTAAAGAATTGTAGCTCAAATCATACATGCATGTGCATATCATGAAGTTTTGAAGTTATTTTTACAAGAATTCTCACATGCATGTTCATATCTTAGTTTTGTTCAAAGAATTCAACTTGTTTTTGAGCTTAATGACTCATTCGGTCATGTATTGGAAGGTTGGAATCCATGACATTACATGCAAGTCATGTGATCTAAGTTTCAAGTTTTGTTTATTATAATTGACATAGTTTTTAGGTTTGATTTTGCAAAATAGTTTGTAATTCACCATGTACTATGAGTTTCTCAATGTTTTACTAAGTTTTGGTCCAAAAGGATGTATTTGAAGGTTTTGAAATTGAGTTTTGAGCTTTAGAGCAAATCTGGAAATTCTAAAATTTTGTTCCTACGCTCGAGCGACCACTCTGAGTGCGTGCACTTTCGCTCGAGCGACCAGAAGTCCGCTCGAGGGTGAAATGCATGTTCCTAGAAGTTTTTATGTTTTGTAGTCCGCTCGAGCGATAAAAGTTGTGCTCAAGTGAGGACATGTCTCTAACACTTGAACGAGCGTCGAGTAAGCATCGAACAGAAAAATCAAGCAACCAGCACTTTTGTAAAAGTTTACAGACTGCTCGAGCGACAGATCTTGCGCTCGAGCAACCACTCACATTTTGTATGTCCGCTCAAGCGTAGGAAGTTGCGCTCGAGTAAGGACCCTGTTTTCAGTAAGTTTTGTTAAGTGTTTTCAAATGCATTTTTGCATCTTTGTTCCATCCTAAGCATTCCTAAGCTATGATTAAGGCACAATAATGAGGATAAAAGTAGAGACACGCCAAGATAAGAAATAACAAAGTAAATGTTTCCAGGTGTGTAATTCAGTATGTATTCGTTTTGTACTTGTGTAGGTCACGCGTCGCAAGATATCTGAATTGCCTCTATTCGTCTATTTGGAGCCATCTGTTATTTGTGAGTAATAACTCTGTAAAGTTATGTCAGACTTTGATTATTTTCTGATGATACGATATGATTAGTTTTCTGAAATGCTATGTTTTGTATGAATGAATGATCGTCCAAGTTTCTGAAATGTACTCGCGGCATCTATAGTATCATGTGATATTTTGCGTCCCTTTATGGGTCATTAGGTCCCTTCATGGGTCATCAGGTCCCTTCATATGTCATCGGAATGCCTTTACAGTCATTTCTTTATGGGCCATCGGAAACGTCTCTGTACACACGAGTCATCGGAATGCCTTATGGTTGTCCCTTTATGGATCATCAGAATGCCTTCATAACTGTCCCTTTATGGGTCATCGAATTTCTTAACACTAATAGATGTGCCACGTACTATGATGTGAAATGTATGAACTTTGAAAATGAAAATGAATATGCATAAGACTCTGTTTCTGATATAAACTCTAATTTCTAACTCTATGATGGACATCATTCATTAAAACCCCTTTATTTTGTTATTATTCACTGAGCTCTCGCTCACTATTTAAATTTTATATGTAGGTGACCAGGCACACGACCAAGTTTAAGATGATGCCTGAAGGGTTTTGTGTTTATCAACCACCCTTTGTGCCTCCTGAGAAGGTTCCAGATCATGTTTAGTCCTGTGGCCATGTTTTTGTGAAAATTTAAGACTTTAGTTCTTTTGTTAATTATAGACAAATTTCTATTTATATGTACAACACATGGAATGACGTGTATCAACTGTATCTTTTGACGTCACACGCATCTTTATTAAAGTTTAAAAATATCTGTCTCATGTATGTCTTCACAGCTCAATGGACTATGTATATTTCTGTTTATTGCTTCCGCAACCCCTAATTTCATGTTATTTTGTTAAGAGGCCTTCGGTAATCCAAGGGTTACTGGCCGGTTACGACGCTAAACCTATAGGGGCGGGTTTGGGTCGTGACAATAATGAATGTCCGTTTCAAAAATCACTGGCAAAAACCCTATCAAAAAGTATGAAGGAGCTCATGGCATGAATTGAAAAATATGCCAAAATAAAGGAGGACACACAAGGAACGAAGACACCAAAGCAAGAGAAGAAAAACGGTTCGCTGAAGCGAGACTGATGTAATTCCGGTGTAAACAGGCAGGAGACAGGGTTAAGGGCTGCACAGGCAGTCACCATGCTATTCAGGATCTCGGTATACAAAGTTCTGGAAAAGATCAAGAACCAGCCGTATTATAGAGAGCTGGAGAAAATCCCGGGCGAGTTTATGGAAATGAGCCTTGGGAAGCATTGTGCTTACCATAATAAGGATAGGCACTTGACTCGAGGATGTAGGGCTCTGAAAACGCACTTTGAGGATCTAATCAGACAGGATCACC